AGTATGACTTTCCATGTTTATTCTTTTATTTTTCCCATTTTTCACTTTCTTGGCTCTTTTCTTTCTTTTTATTTTCTTTTCTTTGACCTAAGATTGTTTTTTGTTTTTTGTATCCTGCTGATTTTAAAGAGGGTGCATGAAAATTAGATAGTAAGGGTAGGTTTAATTTATTTTTATCTGGCTCGGGTGTTTCTTGGGTTTCATGAAAAGATTTATATTCTGTTAGGCTCAATCATGGCTGACTAAGGATATAATTTTGTAAAACAAATGGTTAAGGCTTAAGATTAATCAAACATGGCCTAAGATTATTTTCCATAAATCATATATCTGTATTATTTCGAGATAAACGGTTTAAGGATAATGTTAACAATATAATTCAATAAGTGCTAATCAAAACAAAGGTAATAAGATTATTCAAATAAAATTTCTCGCTGAATCGAAGATCTTTGTTTGAGTGGATGTAGAATATTTCTCCAAGAAAGATTGGTTCAAAATCTACACTAGGTTTTACATCTTCACTATACATGTAAATAGTGTAATATTTCACAAGGTTTTCAATAATAAAGATATATATTTATTCTTATAAGAATAATTTTAAACAAAAATATTAAGATAATACACAACTAGGATATGAAAATCCTGCATGATCAGATTAGATTATTTTTGCAAGTACATCATCTCTCTCAATTTTGCAGCATCAAACAACTAAACAAGTAGTACGAGGCCCTCATATCAGGTTTGAAGCTTGCGATTGAGATGGAAGCCCTTTGCCTAAAGGTTATAGTGATTCCCAACTGATAGTTAAACAGGTAACAGAAGATATTGAAGCGAAGGAGAAGAAGTTGCAAGAATACTTGTCAGTGGTCTAGGCTTTGTTGAAAAAGTTCAACCACTTGCAAATCCACCACGTGCCCAAGGAGGAGAACGCCATGACAGATGTTGTAGTTAAGTTCACACCTACGAACATACTCATAGACCCAACACTGACAGGCCACTAGTTTGAGCCAAGTAAGCTCAAAACAGAGGAGGACGATGTTAACTGTGCATCCTCTGAAGCCAATTAGATGACCCATATCCGAGCCTACCTAAAAGAATGTACTTTCCCAAGGAATTCAATGGAAGCCAAGAAGATGAGAACGAGGGCGTCTAAGTATGTTATCCTACGTGACACTCTTTACAAAAAGAGTTATTCATTGCCACTACTCCGCTACCTCTCCCTTGAGGAAACCAATTATGCCATATAAGAAATCCATGAGAGGATATATGGAAATCACTCAAGAGGGCGGGTACTAGCACACAAGGCAGTAAGGCAAAGTTACTACTGGCCTATTATCGTTAGAGACATCTGAGAGTTTGTGAGGAAGTGTGACAAGTGTCAGCGCTTGTGATAGTGCCTAGATAACCACCAGAAAAGCTCACCACCATCTTGATCCCATGGCCCTTCTCCATGTGAGGGATCGACATCCTAGTTCCCTTACCTATGAGTCGAGACTAGTGCAAGTTTGTGGTAGTGGTCATTGATTACTTCACAAAGTAGGCAAAAATCGAATCCTTAGCTAGAATAACAAATCAGAAAGTGAAAGACTTTATCTGAAAGAGCATAGTTTGCTATTTTAGAGTACCTCATGCTATAGTAAGTTATAATGCCAAATAGTTTGACAACAAACTCTTTAACAGCTTATACACCAACCTACAAATCAAGCAACCCCACTCTAGCCTAGCCTTTTTATAGGTGAATGGATAAGCGGAGGTCACCATTAGAACGATCCTCTGTAACCTAAAGACTAGATTGGAGAGCACCAAGGGGTGATGGGTGGACGAGCTCCTAGGTGTATTATGGGCTTATCGGACTACTCCAAGAAGCCCTACAAGAGAGGCCCATTTTTCCTTAGCCTATTGAACAAAGGCAGTCATACTAGTCGAGATTGGGGTACATTCCTTCAGGGTCCAACACCATGACTCTGCCATCAATGAAGAAGGCCTCCGCATCAACTTTGACTTGGTAGAGGAGGAGAGGGAGATAGTCATGCTTAGAGTGCAGAGTACAAGCGTCGCATGACCAAGTACTACAACTTGAGGGTGAAGCCTCACTCCTTCTTGCCTAGAGACCTAGTTCTTAAAAAAGTCATCCTATCTACTAAGGACTCTCAAGAAGGAAAGTTAGGCCCAAACTGGGAGGAACCCTACATGGTTACATAAGTCATAAGACTGGGCACCTACAAAATTTAGAATTCTAAAGCTTATCGCCGTACCAAGGCTAGCTTTGGAATGCGAAGGAGTAGCAACCGAGGAAGGAGTGGGGGCATCACCAAGTCCAGCCCCCCTAGGAAGCTACCTGGCCAATGGGCCTCGACTGAAAAGCGTTAGGGTATCAGACTTTGCCCTCTTAGAGGAAGGAGGGGAAGATGCTACCTTGGAAGCATAAAGAGCCTCCACTATCACCTTATCAATAGTGGAACCTGTGGAGTTGGTGTGAGACGAAGAGCCTACAAAGTCATAACCATCAAAAGTCTATTGGTAGGATCAAATACCTTTCCTCTTCTATCTAGGGGAGGCTTTGGGACGACTCGATGCAAACATGATGGCTAAAAACTCCTTGAAGGGATGATCCCACATGACATGGAGCCTACTCTCTTGCTCTGGAGATAACGTAGGGGGAGCTGCAAAGAAACCAAACATGCAGTATGTACAGGGACATAACGATCGGACATAAAAGTAAATGTAAAAATCCTTATCTAGCTTGGTTCTTGGAGCAGTGTCCCACCTTGAGGGCACTAGGTTTTGGTCTTCCTTAGAGGCCCACTCGCCTCCAACAAAGAAGAACCTAGACTTCCAGCTATGGCAATTTGAGGGTAGTCCAGTAATAAATTTGCCTAATCCCGGGGCAAAGCGGCACCACCCTTGATGAGGAGTAGGGTTATCCAAAAGCACGTACAAAGTCAAAAACTCCTCGAAAGGGGAAGGAACATTAGCATCATAGACTAGTTTCCATAATGAGAAGAATTTCAGGATCACCCTCCATGCGTTGGGAGTCAACCTCCCTAAAGCCAGTGATAGGTGTCCCAAAACCCGACAGATGGGTCTGGGTATCAAAAACTTGAAACCCCGCCTCTAGGACACCCTCGTAAAGAACAATCTCTCTCCAGAAGTTGTAATGCTCCGGCTCGTCCCCCTCGACTTGTCGACAAATAATAGCAGAAGGGATACGGTACAAAGATACAAAGTGGACGATATCAACATCAAAGTCTATGAAACTAAATATCGAAGATACCTGCGATCCATCTCCTTTAGCATCTCCTTTGCCTTGTCGCGAAGTCTGTGTAACATCCACCATACTAACCCTGCCAGCTCAGGTGCCTAACAGAACAAAAACCAATAAAGATGAATGGGTGTCAAAGTTAATAAGGGTTTAATAGCCAAAGTTATAGGTGAAAGGGGGTACCTTGCTGTCTGCCACTACCGATACCTAGTCTATATCCTTTAGGGATGTTAATGGATCGAAGCGGGGGAGGGGGTATAGTCTTCATCCCCGTATCCTCTTAAAAAACCTTTGTCCATCCCCACTAACGGGTATAATTTCATCCCCATCCCCGTTTGCGGGTAAATTTATAATCCCTATCCCCGGCCTTGCTTCTCCCATACCCGCCCAAGCCCAAGCATAAGCCCAAGTTCAAGCCAACATAATCCAAAATTCTAAATAAATCCAACATTTTAAATAATCCAACAACATTCTAAATAATCTAACATAATCTAACACAACATAATGTAACATAACATATTCGAACATAACACAAACAACAAATATCCAAAATACTACTTAAATTTGATATAATTTGACATTACACAACATAACACAAATAACATAATGGGTGGTAGAATCATCTCAATCATCTATTAACACTAGCTTCACACCAACTCAATCATCACTTAACACCATCGATGGTGGTAGAATCTACTTCTTCAATATCATTTTCCTATATCATTAAAAGAAAAAAAATTAGTTTCTTCCAAAGAGAAATTTTCAACTGAAATGATATTGGTTGCTTTTACCCGGTGTTGCGGAAGTTTGAGGAGTTGACATATTATTTCTCACTTCTTCTCCTTCCATTACTAGTAATCAACTACATGTAAAAATTAACTAAGCAGAACCAAACTATAATAAAACAATCACCACAAACCATACACTATAAACAATAACCTGATCAATAACTAGTCAACTAGAAACCAAATTTGCTTGTTACAGAAAACAAACAAATATTTTAACACTAGCAATATTTTCAACATAGGCAAAGTTATAAGAATTAGTTGTTCCTACTTAATCAACTAAGTAATATAAATAATCAAACAAAAAGGAGCAAGCAAAGCAATCTAGCAATTAAATAGCCCAAGAATACAATTAGAAGAGCTACTGTGGTGTCCGTTAGAATTGAATAGAATTGAATTTGGATAAAACTGAGCACTGAACATAATCAAGTCATAATGCCTTTTAGAATCAGCTAAGAAGACCATAATGCCCTAAGTTTGACTTATAAAGGAGAAACAACAAAAGGACTCTTCACAAAGGAAGTTCAAGATTTTAGAGTAGTCCTATTCACCCACTCTGTAATTGTATATGCAGTTACATTCATTAGTCATCTAAAAAACTTACTGAGAAAATAAGTGCTAGGCAATAAAAAGATAAAAATTTAAAATGAACCCCAAAGGAAAAGAAATAAAAAAACGTCTTTGAGCTGATGATGAAGAGCAAGGAAACAAACAAGTTGCTATGATCAGAAATAAAGATTAAAAATATCAGAAATAAAGATTAAAAATATATATATTTATATTTAACGGGTAACGGGGGACGGGACGGGGTGGGGGTAAGGGTAAGTTCATTCCCGCACGGGTTTATACGGGTATCTCCGTATACGTCCACCGTCCAATACGTATAGTCTATCCTTGGTCCAAACAGAGCGGGTATGGACGAATACTCATTTTTTTTCGGTCCACGGCCATCACTATCATCCCTCTTCCCGTGGGAAGGCCCGTCTTGCCATGTCTTTATCAGAGTGGGCACTTATCGAAACAAAGACCAATATAAAGACAAAAAGAGGATACTAGAATAATGGGAATACCAACAGATAGCGTCATCTCGCAATTTCCCAGTATCTCCGGCAGTGCCACCTAGTGCGCCCGCGCCTCTAACGGCGTCACCAAACTCTTTGACGGTGTCACCCAACGAGCCTAAGCAGTCACTTGTACCACCCTTAGCTAGGCCACTGGCGTCAAATATATATGCGTCTCCCACGATGTCGTCCTGTGCCCCTAAGTAGGCACTGACGTAGCCCTTAACCTCCTTGTCACAGGCATCACCTCCAGCGTTAGCCTCTTTCATGTGGCGCCGCCCACCATGGATTTCGGTGTCATGTACGCCATGACCGTCCTCACCAATATCGCCCGACCAACAAAAGGCACCGCCGCTTTTGGAATCAGTGCCACCAGACCTAACTACCTCAGAGTCATAATAGTCCCAACAAGCTTTGGCGTCGTTTGAACTGGTATCTCCCCCACAGTCCTTTATGGCGCCACCTTTTGGAGCATAGTTGGCGTTGCCCGTTGGCATGCGATTGGCATCGCCTCTGCCAAGGGCGTCACCATTCTCTCTTTACCCGTTGAATTTGGGCATGGCATCTCCTCCGGAGCTACATCTGTGGAGTTGGCCTTTGCCTTCGATGATTGGGGTCGCCATGGATGGGGAAGTGTCCTATTAGATAGAAGAGTTTGAGTTGGGTCTACATTTATGTTTTGTATTTTCTTTTTTAAAGTTTTGCGAAACTTGTGAAAATAAGCTCTGTATCAAGCATTTCGAAAGAAAACAAAGAAACGTTTCAAGTTTTGTTGAAAATGTTGCATCATAGAAACTCTCCTTATATTTTATTTCTTATTCAATAAATACCAAAATGTTTCGTAGATTACAAACAAAAAAAAAGAAATTTGAGACCAGGCTTATAAACCGTCCCAATTTAGAGTTTGGTTCATCTACCTAGGTCGGATCAAGTTTTAAAACTCTGGCTTAATGGGCAAAGTAAAGTAATATCCTATAAATTATGTGGTATAAATTATTAGTCTTGCAAAATTTTAAAAAACGCTATCTCAAATAAGGTATCTGAAATGCACGTACTCATTTTTGTTAGTAAACTTAAATGGTCATTTTCCCAATTGAATCATATTGTCCCAAATAGAAAATGTTATAGATTAGAACAATAAAATTAATGTATATATATGTGTGTGTGTGTGTGTGTACTATAATAAATAGCAATGTAGTCTACATGGGTGGCTTTCAAACATAGAACTCTTATTTTAAATTTTTTTGCTATTTTTGAAGTTTGAAAAATTGTAAGTGGATTTCTCCTGTTAATTTTTGTGAAATTGTTGAAAAGTTTACCCTCAAACTCTTTTTTGTTATTAAGTCCAACCTTCATCTTTTTAAAGCCTAAAAGGCACGCTTATAGCTAAGAAATTGAATGTTCAAATTATAAAAGAACAACAATAGTTAAGATTGATTCAATTTTCATCTATTTTGATCAAATGGTACAAAACTCATCTCAAAAAAATTTTCCCACCAAAAAACTATCATTTTCTCCACACAGCCTCTAATGTCAGATACCTCAACCAACAAACTTCTGAGTGGCAACAACTCCACTGATCCACATTTTCTTTTCTCTTGTCTCTCTCCTACCTCTGTCTTATTTTATCTCTATGCACTTTAGTTTTAAATTGCATAATTAAAAAAAATTATTTAAAATATAAATATTACACGATCAAGGCATGATTTTTTATATTGTAAAGTGTCTTCAGACAAGAGATTATTACTAGTAGTATAATATTTATTCTCTAATCCAAACTATTAACGGTTATTATTTTTTAACACAAAAATACCCTTGAAAAGCTATTCACGCTAAAAACATTAGAGTAGATAACTATCTTCTCCTTCAAAAAAATATTCTTCTCTCTTTCCCTCTTTTCTTTCACTCTAAAAAAATTCTCTCTAGATTCACTTTCTACAAAACCTCATCTCCAACCCACATTAAACAATTGCTCCAATACACTGGTTTTCTATACGATTTTTTCTTGATCCTCCAATCTTTCAAACCCAGTCAATTTCGATGTCACCTCCTCATAACAAGTTGGTGAAGAGTGAATAGAGAGTGGAAATTAATTGTCACTATAAATGAATGCCTTGCAACCATAGTTATCAAAACTAGACCGGGCCGACAAGTCAACCCGAAAAATTGGCTAACTAGTGCCTTAGCCAGGCCATTTCTTAAGTTGGATTGTCTATACAGTTCACCAGTCCAAAACCCATTTTAAACCGAATGTTTTTTGTTTAATTTGACTGAACTAGACAATTTTCATGAAACTGGTTCATTCCAACAATAAACTGACAAAAAATAAAAAATAAAAATATTATAACTAATCTGGCTATCGCATTTCAAGGGCTCCACAGTAGACTCAAGTCACAAAAGGCTGACACACCTTTTACAGGCTAGATGTTGCTTTGTTTTCTTCTGAGAATTCAATGTGGCATAGTGAAAAAGGGTCTTCTTTTGTATTTGTTTTTTTGGGGTTTTCTTATGCCTTTTTTCTTTTTGCTTTTTCTTCCTATCTTTTTATACTTTAGAGAATCCTTCTTAGGGTTTGCTATTCAATACTTGTTGATGTAATTTTTCTAAATTATCTAAGGAATTATAATTCAATACTTGTTGACCCTTCTTTGAGCAACGCTCTTTAGTGCTCAAGAGGACAAGTTTTGCATGAGTTTATACTTAAAACCTATAGGAACCGATCTATACTTGCTAACCTTCGCTAGATCAGTCTATTTATGACTTAGGGAAGAAAATGTAAAAAGGTCATGGAAGGTAGCACAGGGTTCTATGAGCTCACTTGAGTGGTCCTTCATGGTCACTTGAGTGGTCCTTCGTGGTCACTTGAGTGGTGCTTATGGTCACTCAAGCAGTGCTTTGTCTTAGTTGGGATTGAAACATGATTTTCATTCCAGTGAAAACTGCCCTCCCATAGATTGAGCGGTCGTTCATGAATTTGAGTTTTCTTATTTATAAAGATTGCCCCTATTCCGGACCTATAAATAGGGAGAGCCTTTCCCATATCTAGGTTAAGTCACTTGTGAGATTTCTAGGTCAGAAAATCATCTTTTTATCTTGAGAGCTTTCACCACAACCTAGATCCCTAAAACCCAAAATGTTACAACTAGAGATTCTACCCAACCTCACAACTTAGCGAAGAAGATATTGTTGGTTTGATGAACTCATTGGTGTGTTCATACCTAGGATTATTGGCGTACACCCATGATTACTCGAGATCTAGACAAACTATGCAACGGGGAAGTCCAAGTGAAGCTACACTAAAAATTGGAGGACCTTTGATGGACAGAAAACAAAGAAAGGAGCACCTAACCATGGTATTGGTTGCGGTATAGGTCTTGAGTATTTGTATGTTGACTTAAAGAATAGTGGATTATGCTTTGGTGAACCGAGAAGGTTCCTCATGATTTTTCTAGAGGAGAGTTTTCCACGTCAACAAATCACTCATTTTATTTATTGTTTATTGTATACACTTGTGATTGTTTGCACACACGCACACAATGAGTTTGTTGATTTGGTTGTTTGATATCCTATCGACCATAGTTGTGCAATTGGGTTTGGGTTTTGGGATCAACATGAGATTAATCACGAGCTAATTAATTAAATCAATCACCATGGTCAAAGTGGATTGTGGTGACTAAAGGGGTTCTCACATTATTTGCTAAACTTTTGTGGGAAAAGATAATTATGGTGGGTTAGGTTTTAATTGGTAGTCAATTGGGTTAAAATTGAAAAACCTATTCACTCCTAGGTAAAATGTCTATTGCTCTACATGTATCTTCGTGAAGGAAGATCCATTTCGAGTTTTCCCTCCCGAAATAACACAATGTGCAAACAAGTTTTGTTTTTGTTAGATCATATGTTTGTAATTGGTTAATTTCGTAGAGTCCATTATAAATCTCAACCTATTCTATGGTCATGATGTTACAACGATTGAAGATCCAAAAGCGTCATTGAAGGGAGAAGATTACATCATTTGCACTCCGAGTAATGCTAGATGAATTTAAAAACTAGACTTGATACTCTCAACCATTGAATAGGTAGTGGGTCCTAATAAATACTGGGACTCACAGTGAAATCAATGATTGTAATTATCAAGTCTAGTTTTTAAGTTCATGTAGCATTACTCTTTGCACTCTAAATGCACCTTCAAGCTTAGGTCAAAGGTAATGACTTAAAGACCTAAGATAATCCCTTGGTTTAATAAACTTAGGAGGATTAGACTTAAATTGGAATTGGATTAATCTGTGTATGGGTCCTACGTGTTTTTCACCATTTTTTTTTGTAAAATCATCTTATGTGTTTAAAAATATAGTTTGAGCCATTAGCAGATCCCTTTGGAGCAACACCCTTTAGTGCTCAAGAGGGCAAGTTTTTTTTTATTTTAGGCTTAAAAAACTAGTACGGACTATCCTATGTTCGCTAGCCTTTGCTAGAATGCTCTCTTCATGACTTAGGGAAGAAATGAAGAAAATGGCAGATGGAGGAAGAGTAGGGACCACCCTTAAGGCCACTCGAGTAGTCTTAGAGGTTGCTCGAGTGGTCCCAACATCGCTCCAATGGTCTGCTCTTCATAGGTCGGTTTGAAATGTATTTTTCATTCTCAAGATCATTACCCTATGACTTCCTTTCTACCAATCGAATGGTCGTTCGCAAATTTGAGTATTCTTGTCTACCAAGATTTCCCTTATTCCGAGGCTATAAATAGGTAGTGCCTTTTCCAAGCTAGGGCATCTCTTTTTGTGAGATAAATTCTTGCCTCTTATAAATTAGAGATCACACCACATGTGACAATCGAGCCTCAACTCGAAAGTGATTAAATAATTAAATTGTGAGATCCCAAATTTTTACAACTATTGAATTTAAGTATGAAAATATTTAGAATTTTGGGGAGAAAGCATAAGAAATATTGAAGTTTTGTGGTTGATTTATAATTAACGAAACAAGGGAGAGTAAAATATAATTATGGTGGTTTTATGTTGGACAACAATCATTTACGTGAATGATTTCAAAGCAATAAGTGAAAAAGAAGATAAAGAAAGATTAAGAAAGAAGATAAAGGAATAAAATAAAAAGAAGAATAACAAGAATTAGAAGGTGGGTCAAAGTGGAGGATGCATGTGACAGGTGTTGCACTCCTCCTATGTGCACTTGTCGGGCCATGTTCATTTTTAATACATTTGTGCGAATATATATACATAAGTGGTGTATGCATATAGTTTAAGGAAAGAAGAAGTATGCTCATCCTTCATTAGAGAAGAAAACTGAGGGAGAGAGAGAGAGAGAGAGAGAGAGAGGGGGGGGGCTTGGGTGGAGGAAATCAGTGGGTATCATGGTGGGGGCTCAAAGTTGAGATGATTTTCAGATGATGTAAATGCTCAATATGTTATTCTGGAGGTGGAAGAGTTGATTAAGGAATCGGATAAGTAGTTTAGATATAATATACATTCTTTTAATATCT